GATGGTGATTTTCACTTTCTGTCCCCTCTGTGCCATATGGAGTGATGCATTATGATAATTCTGAGGACGAATCACAATTCAATGCCTCTATGAATTTTAGCAAGACGCTCATGCATAAAAATCCATTCTGTTATGATGCAGCCAGATGCAGTTTCATGTTTATTAGTGTGCTATCTCATATTAAAAACCCATGTTTCTTTATACGAATGAGACAATAAGACATTGCACACCATGCGTCATGTCCATCAGATCCGGTCTTTTCTGCTTTATCCTCTCTTTATACTGCCATCTGTGCCTTGAAGTCAATGGCAGCAGAGTGTGCAAAGATAAGATGCGAGAGGTTTACAGGTTTTATCGAACGCTGTACAAACTGGGAAATCTCATCCTGAAATGTGGCATGACACTTCAGGAGACTCGATATGTCACCACAGCAACGGATCATCGTCTACACAGCTTGATGGGTCAGAGAACATCATATGAACACAGGCCTGACAAAAACACCCAAGGTCAAAGCTCACTGCAGAGGCGTGACAGCATTGATAATTAAATCCACCCACGGTCTTTAATATACCAGAGCTTGTGCAACATCTTGTGTAGCAGTGAGCTGCATGTGGTTAGATGCATCTATGTTTTCTAGACTATCAAGATTTTGTTCGTTCTGCTGTGATGGAATAGTGCTATTGAATCTGACGGACCTGAATAGCTGAATGATGGAGATACAAGAATAAAAAACCTTGTGAAATTCTCGGTGAGTTATAGAAGGTGGCACAAAAGTTAAAACAGTAAATGGCGTTGCTAAGAGCCTAAAATCGTTTCAGTCTTTAAAGACGTAGTTTGAAATGCTTTCTTTTGTTGAACATAAAAGAAGACAATTTGAAGAATGTTGCTGGTCTCCATTGACTTCCATAGTATGGAAAAAAATACTATGGAAGTCAATGGGGATCAGAAACTGTTTGGTTACCAACATTCTTCAAAATATCTTTTTTGTTCTGCAGAAGAAAGAAAATATGTTTGGAACAATGTGAGGTTAAGCAAACAATGACAGAATTTTTGGGTGAACCCTTTAAAGGAGCACAATAAAGGTTTTACCATTCATTCATTAAGAAATGGCACCATTGAAAAATGTTTAAAATGATGTACGCTCACATGAAATGAACGCTCCAGTCATATCAGTAGCACAATAAACGCTGATTTATTCTGCTTTGAGCAGGTCCCCTTATGGGGACTACCAAGTTAAGATCACACGACCAGCTGAATTTTCTGACTTTTTCTCAATAACCTTCCTGTTATTAGACACATTCTCTCATGGAATAAATTATGAACGTCTCTTTGTCAAAACACAATGCTACAAATAACTGAAAACATTTCACACCAGGTGTCAGTATGACTTGTATCGGCCAATAAACATACACAGATTTAATTCAATTTTAACTTAAAATGTAATCTTAAATATTAAATATAATAACTTAAAATACAACCTTTAAATGTTGGTTGTTTTGCACAGCTTTTTAAGTAGGGGTGATTCTAGTATTTAGTCTCAGTTATGACATACACTCTTAAAAATAAAGGTGCTTCAAAAGGTTCTTCAAGCGATGCCATAGAAGAACCATTTTTGGTTCCACAAAGAACCATTCAGTCAAAGGTTCTTTAAAGAACCATCTCTTTCTTACCTTTTTGTAATCTGAAGAACCTTCTTTCGCCACAAAGAACCTTTTGTGAAACAGAAAGGTTCTTCAGATGTTAAAGGTCCTTTATGGAACCATTTAGACAAAAAGGTTCTTCTATGGCATCGTGAAGCACCTTTATTTTTAAGAGTGTATATTGGTGCTTTAAGTGCAATATTTTACAAATTTTTTGTTTCTTTTTTGTTAGATCAAATCTACTAAAATTTCAAGTGGTTGTGAGAAAGGCACATATCGGTAAAAAAGGATGCATTTGGATTCACTTTTTGTGATCTCACTATAGACTGGAGAGCAAGCAACAGAAAAAAAGAAAAGAGTACAAGTGCAATGCTGTACCGGGTGAGCCACTATGTCAGAAAAGCTGTACATATGGAGCTGGTTATGTGACACAAGCATCAAAATGTATTTGTTTACAAATCTTGCTCTATGGTAAAAGTGTTTTGAGGTCATAACATAGTGTTATGCTAAGAATTGAGTGAAAGTAAATCAACTGATCATCTGCACTCTAAAAAATGCTGGGTTAAATACAACCCAGTGCTGGGTAAAATAGGGACAAGCCCAGCAATTGGGTTGTTTTGACCCAGCGGTTGGGTTACTACCCAGAAGGTAGGTTTAAACATTTAACCCAACCGCTGGGTCAAAACAGCCCAATTGCTGGGTTTGTCCCTATTTTGCCCAGCACTGGGTTGTATTTAACCCAGCATTTTTTAGAGTGCAGATGATCAGTTGATTTACTTTCACTCAATTCTTAGCATAACACTATGTTATGACCTCAAAACACTTTTACCATAGAGCAAGATTTGTAAACAAATACATTTTGATGCTTGTGTCACATAACCAGCTCCATATGTACAGCTTTTCTGACATAGTGGCTCACCCGGTACAGCATTGCACTTGTACTGTGGAGCACTTAGGTATGAGTCCTGTGAAGCACAAAAGCTCAAAAACTTAGAAGCAAGCTAAATTGACATGATTCTGTCGGCAAATGCATTTTTATCTCAAGTCTGCTTTTGTTAATATTATCAGTTAGTTTTAGGTTACACTCTAAAAATGCTGGGTTAAATATGGACAAACCCAGCGATTGGGTTGTTTTCAACCAACAGTTGGGTTAAATGTTTAACCCAACCTTCTGGGCAGTAACCCAACCGCTGGGTCAAAAACAACCCAATTTTCTGGGTTTGTCCATATTTTACCCAGTGCTGGGTTGTATTTGACCCAGCATTTTTTAGAGTGTAGGTGACATGTTGTTTAAAACACAATAGAGCATTCACCTTACAGCACCCCTCAACAACCATTTAATTTCCAAACTGAGGTGATACATACAACAACCAATGTAATAAAAGTTGCCAGATTTATGTTCATCTGTTTCGCATAAAACTGAACATGATGTGCAAGAAGCAATCATTTTGCAGAAATGTTGTCAAAGGCACATTTTTCCAATGAGCCTAGGTTGAATAATAGCCAAAAAAGGAAAATTCACTCTCATGTCGTTCCATCTTTTATGTTCCATATACGAAAGCAAGCCATAAGGGTGAGTAAATGATGACACAATTTACATTTCTGGGTGAACTATATCTAAGCGCATGACCTTATTTTGAACACACACACTTTTTTTTGCTATCCTCGCTTACATAAATGAACTATAGTGTCTATTTTAAATATCACATATCAATAAAACACAGTAAAACATGGCTGTCAATAAAAATATCCATATTTAGAATGAAAAAATAAACAGTTATGGCAAATTCATTAAAAGGATAGTTCACCCAAAAATGACAATTGTGATCATTTGCTCACCCCCCACTTGTTCCAAACCTGTATGAGTTTCTTTCTTCTGCTGAACATAAAAGATATTTTGAAGAATGTTGCAACCAAACAGTTCTTGGTAACCATTGATGTCCATATTTTTTTGATACTATGGAAGTCAATGGCTACCCTCAACAGTTTATTTACCCAAATATCTTTTGTGCTCAAAAGAAAAAGACAAATTCATACAGGTTTCGAACAAGTGGAGGTCGAGCAAATGAAAAACTTTAATTTTGGGTGAACAATCCCTTCAAAAGGTTTTAAAAAAATATATCAATTAACAGATTAACACATTTTAAAGGCCCTAAAAATACTTAACATTTTGCACAAACCTCTAGTCCCTGACCCGTTTGAAAACCCCTGAAATAGAGCATGCTAATCCACCCCTAGAATCAAACCCCCAATATGAAGCACAGTGTAGAAAATGGGCAAATATATTGCTTTGCCGTCATAATACCAACTCCAGAAAGCTATATTTATTACATATTTGCCCAGCATGAGCTCCAGCGCTCTCATAAAAACCAGTGCCCCCTGAGATTTAAAGTAAATCGCCTACAAAAATGCAGCATATAGTTTCTTTATTTGGGATGCAGGAACATCTTCTACAAACTTGGGCGCATCTCTTACATACTGTATAATGCCCTCGAGGTTTAGTGTCAAAATTAACCACTATAAAGGTCATCTTCGTGAAGCATATGTGAGCAGAGCAGAATGGAGTCCTGCTCTGTCAAAGAGAACCTCACTCCTCAAGTCAAGCCACATGTCTGACTGCTCATGTGTAGGTTTTCAGACAGGAACAGGTATATTTACTCAGCTACCACAGCTCCAGCACTCCGCTACCAGCCAATTAAAAACATGATTTACGACTTCAGCAAGTCCTGAATCAAACAAACAGTGATGCTTTAAGTAGTAAATAGGCTTTGACGCTTTATTTTTTTACAACAAATTGAAGTTAACATTTCATACCAACACTTTTATAAACCATATATAAAAACTAAATTATTTACACATCAAAAACTTTTGGTAATCAATCATAACATATGGCTGTATAACACTCCCAGGTCATTAACAGCTCTTTATGTGCTTGTTTTATAAGCATCCTCCACCACTGGACAGGTTTTTTCACCCAATTGAAATGTATTATTCTGTAACAAGTGCTTAAACTAAAACTTAAAGCTTAAAAATTCAGATTTACAGTTATGCTATTACAACACAGCCAAAAAGATGCACAAAGCTTCACCCTCGGAGCACGACAACTTCAATCTGCTCCAGTCAGTCGGAGCCCTCCCGTTTGCTTTATTTACAATGTTCCTCTACATCTGACAGTGACCAAAAAGCCTACTTAGCTGAACATAAAAATTAATGTTTGCTTTAGAGACTCAATGGAAATGTCATGAAACAAAAGGTTAAAGCCAAAAGGCATATTTGATCTGACCTTTACATTACGTACCTGGCTAATTAATTCCCCTTCTGCATAAACTGCATAGCTGAGATTTAAAGGTTAAACTTCCACAGCTGCTTGATATTGGGTTTATGAATAGATAAGGAAATGTGTGCAAAGGCTTCAAAGGCTCTTGTGTGTTTAACCTGAAATGGCAATCAACAACGCAAAACCATTTCAGACTTCAATTAGGCCAAGAAACCAGGTCTGAGTGAATATGAGAAGGTGCCATCAAGTAGCAAAAAGGCACAAATAGCCATTGAACTAAAAGAGCATGAGTATGAGTGTTTCTGAATGCTAACTTGCGATTAAAAAGACATTTAGTGGAATAACCTCCATCCGAGCAGGTTAATGACATGTCAGTAGCACTCATGATGACTCAACTTCACCAGAGCTTTAAAACTTCATCAGCTCACAAGACTAAAAGGATTCTCAAGCCGGCTCTGGTTGACGCACGCTGGTCTGAGGTGGCATGAGCGTCAGCAGAGTGCAGGTGGATGACACGCTAGAAAAGCGCTCATGGAGCGAGCAGTTACCGTTCCATCTGGGAACCACAGAAGATTCCACCGAGTTGACGCAGCTTGAATCACTGTCAGAACCTGGACAAAGTCCTAGACATAGTCTCTGAAGAACCAAATGGAATTTCCTTCTAAAGCTATGGTTGATCCAGAAGTAGAAGATACAATTGAGGAAGCCATTGGAGGTGGGTAACCACACAGCAATAAACTCGATCCATTCGGGGACACCACTGCCGGAAATCGCTGTGAACAAGGAAAACATGCTTTAAGACTTCTTTCATCAATATATTAGCATCACGGTAATAGGTACTAAATAAAAGACATTTACAAAGCAGCATCTAATCCAGACAGCCTATGTATGAAATGAGTAACTTTAGGGTTAAAGTGGACAATTTCATTATTTACTCAATCGCAAGTCATTTCAAACCTACAGGGGTGTAACTGTATATCATTACTAGTTACTACACTTAAAGTCGGCATTAAACGGAAATTCAACCCATTTTATAAATGCGTCTTACTGATTTTATTGAGAACAATTCATCCATGCATGCGTTTCATTTTTTCAAATTTATTTATATAATAAATATATTATATTAATTTGTAATCAAATTAATATATCTCAAGCTTACGGTGAATTCTAGCCTGTGTGACTTGCTTCTGCCAAGAAAAAAAAAAAGATGATATTTTGAAGAATGTTGTTAAGCAAAGAGTTTCAGTTCACTTGACTTGTATTCTTTCTTTGTATTGTCTCTTGTAATCTTTGTCCATACAGTGGAACTCAATGGGAACCGAAACTGCTTGGATGCCAACATTCTTCAAAATATCTTCTTTTGAGTTACTTCTGTTATTTCAGTGCTATTTTCGGTAAATTATGCATTATTATTATAATTTGTTTTGTTAAAATTATACATTTTAACACCACCAATCAACTATGGTGGTGTTAAATTTCTATTAAAAAGGCATTCAAACTACAACATTTCACAAAACAAACAAACAAAAACTCTAGTCAACAGCCGTCATGTGTATGAACATGGCAGATGATCTGTCCATAAATATTATTCAAATGTTAATAAACTGTAAAATCAGCTGCTGAATTTTAACGTTTGACCATCTCAGGTAACAGGTTCCAGGATGATGGCTGCATCAGGAAATAAAGTATTTTTAAATACTTCAGTCCAATTTAATATGGAAGGTTTTAACAATTTAGGCTATACTTTCTTCGACTGCAGAAAAAAAGGAAACCATTTAATTTGCGGTGTTAACTTATGAATTAAATGAAAAACAAGAAATAAAAATCAGAACAAGAACAATAGAGTTTTTTTCTTGTAATCAAGAAAAAATAGGCCTATTTGACAAATTATACAATCGTTGGTGTCAGTCGCAAATATTGAACATGTTTTAGGCTACAATGCATGGCGTGTGTTTCACTAGCTCCGTTCCCATGGACACCTTTTGTTTGATCTAATTCTGGATATTTCCAGCCTAAATCTGTATCTAAAGCCGTGTCTTCACCAAGAGAACCCATTATAATCAGTTTATGCGGTGACCACACGGGAAGTGGCGCAAGGCGATAAATCTTCTACAGTAACTGATGCCTCCTTCTATCCCGAATCTTTGAAACATGCATTGTATGCGTTGAAAGTGAAACCTAAAAAAAAGCAGCACGCATAAAGCGATTGCACGCTTTTGCGAGCTTCAACAAATGCACGCGATCACAGATTGCACACTTCCCAGCCGAAACAACCCCCCACGTTTTTTTACTGGAGTATGTTTTTGGCTACATATGTTTTTAACAGTAAAATTATCTCTGCATACAGTATGTCACTAATTACTGAGTATTCGTTTTACACTCCTGCAGTTATTTAGCAAAATGCTCAAGCTGCTCTTTTCCACACAACCAACGTAGACCGTAAACAAGGACTGTCAAGCTCCAAAAAGGACAAACAAGTGCCATAAAAGTGGGCAATTTAAATGCTATGTAGGAGGACTTCAGTCTCCTTGTCTTGTCTTTCATCTCAGCTCCCCTAAACCTCTGTGATTATCTCTTCATGTTTGCTGAAAACAGCAGTTGCAGGAAGCTATCTGAGGTCACTGCACTCGGAGTCCTTCCCTTATTGGTTGTAAGAAAGTTAACAACATTATATTTCCCTCTCTCCAGCCATATAGGCCTAGGTGCCATAACCACAGACTGCTGCCATTCATGTAGATGTACAGACATGCACTCGTGAAAGCTATGCTTTTCAGTGAAATTGCAAACAAAGTGATCAAAAAAAGCAATGGTAACACTTTACAATAAGGTTGCACATGTTATTTATTATGAACTAACAATGAAGAATACTTTTAATTTTATAATGTTTACTAATATGTTATTAAAAATGGATCGGTACCTACTGTATTAATATTTAAATGGACCTCAGCTAACATTAACTTATGAACAGTTGCATTTTTATTAACCAAATAAAACGATGAATAAAAATATATTCCTCCAGTCCTTTTTAGTTAAGCTGTAAAGTTTGGGACCTAAAGTATTACCAGAGCAACTATATACCACAATACACCAATGCAAAATACTAGGGCTGTCAAAAGCTTAAAATAAATGGCAATCATTTATTTCTTTTTCAAGCTCCTCAACACTGCATTTTCCACAAACGGTCCACAATATATTTCACATGTTTTGCTTAATATATATTTTTAAATTGAAAATATTCATTTTCAACCTTCATGTACCAAAATATATTTTAAAATGTATTTCAGGAGCAAGAAATAGCTAAATTTAGGAATTTATTGACTTTTAAAAAATATATACACTACCAGTCAGTTTTTGAACGGTAAGATTAAGGTTTTATTTGTATTTATTCATTTTTTTAAAGTCGCTTCTGCTCACCAAGCCTGCATTTATTTGATCCAAAGTGCAGCAAAAACGGTACAATTTTGAAACATTTTTACTTTTTCTATTTGAACATTTTAAAATATAATTTAGTTATGTGATTTCAAAGCTGAAATAGCATCATTACTCCAGTCTTCAGTGTCACATGATCAGAAATCATTCTAGTATTCTGATTTGCTGCTCAAAAAAAACATTATTATTATTAATTGTTGAAAACAGCGGAGAATAAATTTTCCAGGTTTCTTTGATAAATAGAAAGTTCAGAAAAACAGCATATATCTGAAATAGAAATCTTTTGTAACATTATAAATGTCTAAATCACTTTTGATCGATTAAAAGCATCCTTGCTAAATAAAAGTATTAATTTCTATCATATACACTCTTAAAAATAAAGGTGCTTCACGATGCCATAGAAGAACCTTTTTGTCTAAATGGTTCCATAAAGAACCTTTAACATCTGAAGAACCTTTCTGTTTCACAAAAGGTGCTTTGTGGCGAAAGAAGGTTCTTCAGATTATAAAAAGGTAAGAAAGAGATGGTTCTTTAAAGAACCTTTGACTGAATGTTTCTTTGTGGAACCAAAAATGGTTCTTCTATGGCAACGCTTGAAGAACCTTTATTTTTAAGAGTGTACTTCCTCAAAAATAATAAAACTACACTGACTCCAATCTTTTAAATGGTATGGTGTATAATGCAACTTTTTATTTGGGATAAATGCTGATCTTTGGATCTTCCTATTCATCAAAGAATCCTGAAAAAAATGTACTCGACTGTTTTAAATATTGATAATAAAATAATGTTTCTTACACAGAAAATCAGCATATTAGAATGACTTCTGAAGGATCATGTGACACCGAAGCCTGGAGTGATGATGCTAAAAATTCAGCTTTGAAATCAGAGGAATAAATTACATTTTAATATCTATTCAAATAGAAAGCAGTTATTTTAGATAGTAAAAATATTTCACAATATTACTGCTTTTGCTGTATTTTGGATCATATAAATGCAGGCTTGGCGAGCAGAAGAGAAGTCTTAAAAAATAAAAAATAAATTGACAGTGTATTTTCGAAACTATATTTATATTTAAATGTTTCAGCAAATGGGTTTAGAACAACACCAGGATGAATATAAATGACAGGCTATTAATCAGGATCTCACCATTGTACAGCATGATGACCATGCAGGGCGTCCAGCAGGTGTAGTAAACGGTCATTAAACCTTTTTATTTCAGATAAATGCTGATCTTTGGATCTTTCTATTCATCAAAGAATCCTGAAAAAATGTACTCGACTGTTTTAAATATTGATAATAATAAAACAATAATGTTTCTTACACAGAAAATCAGCATATTAGAATGACTTCTGAAGGATCATGTGACACCGAAGCCTGGAGTGATGATGCTAAAAATTCAGCTTTGAAATCAGAGGAATAAATTGCATTTTAATATCTATTCAAATAGAAAGCAGTTATTTTAGATAGTAAAAATATTTCACAATATTACTGCTTTTGCTGTATTTTGGATCATATAAATGCAGGCTTGGCGAGCAGAAGAGAAGTCTTAAAAAATAAAAAATAAATTGACAGTGTATTTTCGAAACTATATTTATATTTAAATGTTTCAGCAAATGGGTTTAGAACAACACCAGGATGAATATAAATGACAGGCTATTAATCAGGATCTCACCATTGTACAGCATGATGACCATGCAGGGCGTCCAGCAGGTGTAGTAAACGGTCATGACTGGCACTAGAACACGCAAGGCGACTTTAGGCCTGTATCCTCCACCCCAGCTGTGCCTTCTCAGCTTCAGCCTCTGTCTCTTCGCGGCTATCCACAGTCTGAGGTTACAGAAGGTCATGATGGCCGAGCACGGGAAGAAGATGAAGCAAGTCAGAGACAGAGAGTAAGACACATTGCTGGAGTACAGCGGGTTGCACACGAGCGAGGCTCTGGAGAACCGCACTTCAATGATGCCCGCCGGGAACGAGATGGGAACGAGGAGAACGGGAGGGAAACCCCACGCGAACGCGATCAGAAGCAGCGCTCTTCTCCTGGTCAGCACGGTGGAGTACTTCAGAGGGTAAAACACTGCTATGTATCGTTCCAGGCTTATGGTTGCAAGGGTGTACATGCAGGTGGAATATATAGTCGCGTTGAAAAATGCCACGACGTGACAGAAGGGGTCCGGGCCCCCGTTATATTCTTTCATGAAACTCACGCACAAATTGAGCGGCATGATAAGCAGCCCAAACGCCGAGTCCGCTCCCGTTAACGATAAGAGAAAGTACCGAGAGTTTCTCGACCACCCCGATACCGCTGAAGCTATGACCATCACCACAGCTATGTTTCCCAACGTTATCATCACTCCCAAAACCGATATAATCCCGATTTTAATGGTGCGGTGAGCCTCCAGGGTCCTCTGTAGATCCGTGACATTCAAGTCCACATCTGTTGAGGGAATGGAAAGGTTGTTTATGCCGGACATCATGGCGCATTTCCATCAGTGACCCATGGCTATTTGAAAAATCCTTATTTTTCAAACGTTACAAATAGTCAACTGTATGCAAACGGAATCTACATGGCCGACGCTCCAGGACAGATGAACACCTGTGGCAAATCAAGATCAGTCACGTGATGCCGCCCTGTTGCATGGCCTTAATTGTCACATCGTTACAGGTGACCCGTTTTTGAACAGCCCAGCCATGCTTTTGGAGGACACATAGGGGAATGGCGCTAATAAAGTTATTTGGAATCATGTGTTGCATTGTAGAAGTCACAACTAAATGTAGCTTTACAGTGAAGAAAGGTGATGATCACACAGTAGATGCAGTATATAAAAAAAAAAGTTAACAAATAGTAAAACTTAACTCTATATAGGAAATACCTCATCACTGTGTCTGTCATGCGACTCTGTTCCCCTTTCGGGCTCTGTATTTACGTTTATTTTGAAAGATGAAGCTCGCGATTATAGTAAGGGGCGTTACATTTCCGACGATTGCTTGCGGTGTTCGGCCAATCACAATGCACTGGGTCAGCTGGCCAATCAGAGCAGACTGCGCTTGTCGGAAGGAGGGACTTTGTAGAAAACGAAGCGTTTGAGAGAGGTGGGGCATAGAAGACCTACAATAATGTAGAGTATTTGAAAAATAATGTGTTTTTTGAACATTAAAGCATGTCAACATATTCTGTTACACCAAATACACAAAATAATGATCTTTAAAAAAGCATCATATGACCCCTTTAAAATGATCAAGATCAGAACTTAATTAAAAAATAAAAAATGAATGATTTTTATAAAGTAAACATTGTTAGTAATATTTCAAAACAAACTCTTACTGGACCGAAGCAACTTAGGTTTACTTGCCATAAATACTTTTTTAGAAATGTCATGTTAAAGTATGAGGCTCAGCATCAGGCTTTTGAGGAACAGAGTAGTCTGTTTTATAAAGATCTCTTTGATTTACATTGCATCATAATTTCATCTTACTTGTTGGCCATATAAATATCAGCAGCTGCACCAAATAACATAATTTTTGCTCAGTTCCTTCAGCTTCTGAATAAAATTGAGGCGTTTATTTTATTAATTTTTTCTCCTTAAGTATGTGATCCATGTTTTCACCATATCATACTATATGGGCCATATAAGAGCCTGATGTGTCACATTTTTATTTATCCATTTATTTATTAAAAAAAAAGATTTTTCTGAGTATTATTTCATATATCATGGTTTATTAAACTACAAAACCTTTCTTAATCCAAAAACTATTTAATGATGTCTTTATTTATAATGTCAAGTGGTCTTATAAGGAACGACTGCAGTGTGCAGAACATATTGCACATTGTATAAAAAGCATTAACTGAATTCATTTTGCTCAGAATACTATTTTAATTAACCCATTTACATTATTTTGATTGAGTAGACAGATTGGGCATACTGAGAAGAAAAAGTATAGGCTCTACATGGGACTACAATTATTCAGTACTCATGTTGATTACATTTTTAACGTTCTGTTATTTAAGTCAAAGGGACATTTTCAAACTTTCATTTTTAGTTTTGTTAAAGCAAACAAACACTTAAAGGTATAGTTCACCTAAAAAAAAAAAAAAAAATTCTATCATAATTTACTTAACCTTGTTCCAAAATTGCTCCAAACCTGTATGAGTTTCTTTGTTTTGTTGAACACAAAAGATATTTGAAAAATCTTGGTAACCAAACAGTTGCTAGCCATTAGGCCTTTTGTGTGTGTGTGTGTGCGCGCATCACTGTGTCTGTCATGCGACTCTGCTCCCCTTTCGGGCTCTGTATTTACGTTTATTTTGAAAGATGAAGCTCGCGATTATGGTAAGGGTAAGGGTACATTTCCGACGATTGCTTGCATGGGTGTTCGGCCAATCACAATGCACTGGATCAGCTGGCCAATCAGAGCAGACTGCGCTTGTCGGAAGGAGGGACTTTGTAGAAAACGAAGCGTTTGAGAGAGGCGGGGCATAGAGGACCTACAATAATGTACAGTATTTGAAAAATAATGTGTTTTTTGAACATTAAAGCGTGTCAACATATTCTGTTACACCAAATACACAAAATAATGATCTTTAAAAAAGCATCATATGACCCCTTTAAAATGATCAAGATCAGAACTTAAATAAAAAATTAAAAATGAATGATTTTTATAAAGTTAGTAATTAGTTAGTAATATTTCAAAACAAACTCTTACTGGACCGAAGCAACTTAGGTTTACTTGCCATAAATACTTTTTTAGAAATGTCATGTTAAAGTATGAGGCTCAGCATCAGGCTTTTGAGGAACAGAGTAGTCTAGTCTGAAATAGTTCGTGCAAAATCGTCCCAGTACTTTAGTACTGAACATTTAGTTCTGGAACTAAAGCGGTGCGAAAGGCCTTATTGACTTCCATAGTATTTTTTTTCCATACTATAGAAGTCAGTGTCTACCAGCAACTGTTTGGATACCAACAATCTTCAAAATATCTTCTTTTGTGTTCAGCAGAAGAACGAAACTCATACAGGTTTGGAACAACTTCAGGGTGAGTAAATAATGACAGATTTTAAATTTGGGGGGAAAACTATCCCTTTAAAGTTGAAATTAAGTTTGAATGAAGTCTATAAAGTTTGGGCTAAATTAATTGCAGGGGTGAACCACAGTGAATGTCATTATATGTAGTGGAGAACACACTCTATGCAAACACGTTCAACATGGACAAATGCATAGATAATAAACAGTTTCCAGTTGTTTTTACACTGATGAGCAGAATTACTATGTGACATGACAGCAAAGCATTTAGCTGGCTGATTCCCTGACAGCTATCCCTATTAGAGACGTAATTAAGTGTTATTTAGGTGCTAAAGTTTTGTTGTGCTGCAGCTAGATGTTCTGCTGTAAATACAGTCACTGTCAAAAACACAAGTATCCAAAACGTGCTTCTAATATCAATTACTTTCTATTGAATCATGATACAATCATGCAGCGAATGACAGCAGCAAGATTGCTTTAGGTGTTTTGTTTCAGCCTGCTGAGATATTTCTCTCATAGTCCCAACTCCCCATTGACCTGATGTGTTAATTCAGAACATTAAAATGCATCTTTTGTCCTGTAGATAGGCATGTTGGGCTGTTTTGGGGTTTAGATTGTCAGGAAGCCTTGTGTGCAAATCAAGAATCATTCAATATGTCTAATTAGGCACACAACCCAAACATGTGCAAGAGGCGCTTGTGAACATTTCAATCATCTTTTGATTGAGGAAAAAAGACTCTTGATTTAGTAGAGGAATGTATTAGTTCAAAATCTTGTGTTTATTCTTTTTAATAACATCACAATACCTTTTCATTTGCAGCATGACTGCAGAAGTTATTACCAACAAATGACAACTGACATGAGTGAGCATGAAGCTTTGATTGAAGCTGAGTGGGAAGTGAAAGGGGAATTTGATTCAAGATTAAAGTCGTGCCGTGTATGTATAGACTCATGTACGTCACCTCAGACGTTTGCTCATCTGACATTCTATTGTTGATTCGAGAGAAAATGAAGCTTTAACGACAGTTCATTTCTTGATCAGTGTGACGGTTCGATGTCTCACTTTAACTTTAAACACATTCCGGCTTTGGCCTACTTGCAGATTAGACCAGTTTATGATGAAGATACTTAATAGCTAATCTTTTCAAAAATTAATCGCTTAAACCATTAGTCATGCTGAGTTATAAATATACTCATTTGATGTAAAATAACAGTTCAAGTTAAAGCAGGGCAATAACCCACACTAAAATGTGTCAATGCCAGTTCCTTTAACTATTTGTGTTTAAATTATATTTTTATTTTTGAATATCACATGGAATTTCGAACTGCATAGCAACAGTGTAGCAGGGTTATCACTGTAAAAACAAAAAAATCTATATTGTAATTAAAGGGGAAGTTATATTTAATATAATTATAAAAGAAAATAATATTTCAGTCTTTCTACTTACAAAAATCTTGTCTTTCTCTTGTCTTTCAAGTTACAAAAATTGCAATGTGTTATGGGTCATTTTTACTTTGTAATTATTTGTAAAATTTAACAGCAGTTTCTTAGTGAAAATTATTTCAAAGTAAAATATCAGAGCTAAAACCATAAAAAACATTTTTTTTTGTTATAAGAAATAAAATAAATGTTCACTGAAATATCAAATATAATATAGGCAAAAAAGTCTCAGGTTACATATGTAACCATGGTTCCCTGAGTAGGAAACGAGACACTGCGTCTTCTAGGGGTCGCTATGGGGAAACCTAGAGGACGCAGTTTGAAGTTCCCTTGAAAGGGAACGTCTCAGGTTACTTATGTAACCATGGTTCCCTGAGTAGGGAACGAGACACTGCATCCAAACAGTGGACGCAGTTCGAAGTTCCCTTGAAAGGGAAAACACAACATGCAAAATTAAAATTAAAACAGAAACAATGAGATTTGAAATGACACTAATATAATGCAGTAAACATTAATTTAACAACATAGCTGAAAAGAAACTAAGAAGAAACATAGTTATTTAAATGAAAAACCATCAAATGTGAGCTGTCACATAGAGGATTCTGGAAATGTCAATTTATGTTTTTTTTTACTGTAAATTATAAGGTGGCTTGTTCTTTCCTCTTCCAAAACACAAAAAACACTGTAATATTGCATGAAATGTGCCATTAAATCTATTACAGTTTTTCATAGAATTAACAGGTTTTTACTGTTAAAGTTCCAATCATTTTTTGCAGTGTTAAAATAGCATATTACTTATATTTAGACTTTATGTGAATAGCATCTACCATGATTTGCAGTTAATGTGGTCCTATTTATACATGGTGCAGACAGTTTCTATCTATAGTTTCTGTTTGCACTCAATATAAATAGCCACTGCTTTATATTAGACCAGTCTATTTGTTAATATGCAAGCGAAAAAAAAACTGAAGGAAAAATGTAAAGTGGTCAGTACAGCTTGTGAAAGAACAATATATTCTGTCATTTACAAAACCTAAAAATCTGCATCCATTAAACCATGCATGTTTGTGAGTGAATTTGTACGGATATATGTGCTCATGTTAGTGATGCCGTTTGTGTCTGCGCTGTGGTTAAGACAGATACTTTAAATAGCATGTTTCAGAATGATCTGATCCCAGCTGCTCCCCCATTTCCAGCTCTCTGCAAATAGACACCTGTGACCTACTGGATA